ATCATTCACCACTTTCTAAACCTTTTAAAAAAACTAGCTAAATCTGTATAATATTTGCAAATTTAGTTTGTAGTAATTTACCGTTTGGCCAGACGGGCACGTTATGTATAATTAGCGTGGCATTCAACGTATTAAACTAGATTTTTAGTAATTTCCACTTTTTAGTCGCCTGTAGCATCCCAAAAAATATAACGAATTAGTTTATAAGAAAATTTTTTTGAACTTCTTTTTTTTAAAAATCAAAACCAGCACAAATGCTAAATTCTACGCTTTCAGAAAAAGTGTTAATAAATAGGCAGATAATATATTAATAAAGCTTGTAGAAGAAAGATAAGCTTACTATTTAACAGCGCCACCAGCATATATTATAAAAAATTGGATTTTATATCATACTCTGAATTTTCGTTATGTAATGGTAGAAAAATTACTTAGAATGAAAAATTCCAAACTAAAAATAAGTTAAATTTCGTTATCATTGGAAATTACTTTTTTACAAAGGCGGGCAAGTTAGCACCTCTGATACATTGTATGAAAAAAGTACTTAATTTTAATCTCTTGATTTTGAATTTTATAATCAGCAATTTTTGTATCTTTAGTTTAGTTTAGTTGTGAAATTTGTTTTTATGTAACTCAGCTGAATTCGCTGGTCTTCAGTTGTTTCTAGTTTAGTAATTTTTGCCGTATGCGTAAGTTGAAATTGAATAAATTGAGCTGAATTATGGTTTTTGAAAAAGAACTGTTATTAACTGTGAGAAGGGTTATTAGGAAAAATATTTATTTATTCTTGAATTTAGTTATTTTATTTCGCATTGTAAATTTTGATGATAAATACCGATGCAATCATTTGTAAACGCATATTTTTTGTATTCTTTTTTTGTTTTCGTATTTTCTTATAACAGTTGATGGGAAGTAGTTATATTTATTTAAATTTTGCTTGAATAAGCTTATGAAACTAACCAAAATATTAAATAAATAATAGATTATTAGACGGATAAAAACATAGTTACAGGTTTCAAAAACCATAATTGGTTAAAAAAAACCTCCTAACTCCATTAAACTTGTCTGACTGAACAATTGAATCGAAATTTGTTGTTCTGGAAAGGGTTGAAATTAAATCAGGTCTGCAACTTTCTACGGTTTTTGTAAAATTTTTTACTTTAATGGTATCTAAATTAATGTTTTATTTTTTATTCATTTAAACTTATTTTCCACACCACTTCGTACAAATGCTTTAAAAGTTCATAAACAAAGCCACTTCGGTCACGTTTACCGTGGAGAAGCTTATAAAATGTTGGTCAAATTACCGAAAACTCTAAAAGGTTTGGCTTTAAACACGTTGAATGCCACGCTAATTTTACATGGCTTGCCCGTCTGGCCAAACGGTAAATTACTACAAACTAAATTTGCAAATATTATACGGATTAAGCTAGTTTTCTTAAAAGGTTTAGAAAGTGGTGAATTATATAAGCCTACGAATTGTTTAGAAATAGTGGTGGATAAAAATTTACTAAATTGAATTTATTAAACCAAGAATCACAATTAATAAACTACCACTTGAAAATGTTCATTCGCTGTCCGGAGTAAGTTGGCATCTCTGTGTATGTAAATAAAACTATTTTTGTGTGTTCTGTATTGCATTAATTTCTTCAAAGCCTTTTAGTAACGATAATAATATAAAAAAATTAAAAATTTACTTGAATTACGTGTTTCTAATAATCTTGGCTTCGTCGGTGACCGGTGACCCCCGTGGTGCTACGAACAGACTCTGTGCCAGTCACCGATGACCCCATGGCATTCAACGTGTTAAAGCAGGCTTGCCAACTTTCTTCGCTTTTCGTAAAAATTTACTTCAATACTAGGTTTGTGGGACGAGTCATTTTGACGCATTTCGAATTTTATAAGGAAAATTACAAAACCCGTTTGAATTTTTATTTTATCTCTTGTAATGACTTTTATCCATTGATCGAAGCAAATATATATTGAATTCTATTTTCTTCAAAAGTGTTGAAATATTGAAATTCTCTTTATGGTATACCTATCTCTTCAGACGTGGGTCAATTTTACGAGATCGTAATTTAGATAAAATTTTGAGTAAACATACAAACATAACATCAATAATAAACAGGAATGTGCCGACAATACTTCGATCCGTTATCCGATATCGTTATCTTGAATAATACAAGCGATAAACAACTGTCGCCGATAAGCGATAATAGAAAGAACAAACGCATTATGTTAATTGATGTCAGATTTTGAAGGTTTCAGTTGCTTAGTTCGAGTATTGAAAAATAAAATACTAGAATATTTCAGAAATATATATATCTCACATTTTCATTTTTTTTCTTATACTATATAATTACATTGCTTTCTAAGTGCAGAGATGCCAACTGCTCCGGACACGCAGAAATAATTACTTTACTTTCAAAAATTGGGCACCTGAAGGCCCATATCCCATACATCAGGGGTCCCCAACCCTATGCCCGCTGGCACCATGGCGCCCGTCGATCGATCTAGGTGCGCCCGCTGCTTGTGCCCAACGATAAAATATTTCAGTTTTCCATTTTCCCAATAAATGCTATGCAAATACATATTGAGGTACGCTGGTTCAGTAATGGCAAAGTACTTGATAGATTTCTACATTTAATTGGAGAAATAAAAAATTATCTTGCAGCCAAAAATCAAACATTTTTGGAACTGAGAGATCCTCTTTGGCTAGCAGATTTGTCTTTCATAATGGACATAATGGAAAAAACTAAATAATTTAAACTTGGAGCTGCAGGAAAAAGACAAACATAAAGCAAAAATGATAAAGGCTATAAACTCGTTCAGAGCTAAGCTAGTTTTGTGGATATCACATTTGAAAATGAAGTCTCTTGTGCATTTTCCAAACATGAAAAAAATGTTAGGTGACAGTGAAATTGACTTATTAACATTTGTCATCAACCTCCAATTGTTTAAAGATCAATTTAAAAAGCTCTTTCAACAATTTAATATCATCGAGCCTTTGATAACTTTTTTGTTAATCCTTTTACCAACCAAATAAACGTTACCGTAATAGCAACATACATTTCAGAATTTCTTCAAGTAAAGCGAGAAGAATCGAAGATAGAAATTGTGGATCTTCAGAATGACATTATCATCAAAACTATTATATCCCATGAGAAATTCTGGAATATAATTGAAGGAATAAATTCCATTCTTAAAAATAGCATTATATTCTCCCAATTATCTAGCGCTGGCCAGCGAAATGCCATGCCTAACACCACATTGACTGTATTTTATAAATAATTTTTATATTTCATATGTTTTGAAAGCAATTTAGTAATTATTTATTTTACACAAGAAAATTAATACTAATTATATTCATATGTTAAATTAATTTTTAAAATGAAATTTTTTTGTGCACTATATGTAGCGTGTAATATTACCTATGTCTACCAACTATAAATTTATCTTGAAAAAATAAATGGTGCCCGCCATTCGACCAATGTTCTGGTATTTGCTCTTAGGTACAAAAAGGTTGGGGACTACTGCCATACATCATTTAATATTACGTAAACTTATTATAAAACAGTTTGAGTTCAGCAGTCTATGGGGTGGCTGTTATCAAAATAATTAATTAAACGGTTAAATAACTACTAAGGAAATTTTGCAAATATATAGTGGTGAATTATATAAGTCTGCGAATTGTTTAGAAATAGTGGTGGATGAAAATCTACTTAATTGAATTTATTAAACCAAGAATCACAATTGATAAACTACCACTTTAGAATATATATTTGCTGTCTGGAGCCAGTTGGCATCTCTGTAAGGGCTGCTATAGGTATTCGTTCATGCGTCAAATTGACGCGTGTTCCTAGAGATATGTATATAAGAAACGTCCGTATACCTAGTGTTAATTGTATCTAAGTTAATGTTTTAATGTATTATTTTTTATTCATTTAAACTTATTTTCCACACCACTACATACAAATGATTTAAAAGTTCATAAGCAACGTCAATTTTGTTCAGCTTTTTCGTGGAGAAGCTTATGAAATGTTGACCAGGTTACCGAAAATTTTGAAATATTTGGTTTTTAAATGTCTTTCACTCTGTAAAATATTTTACAGAAACCGTAGTAGCTGGCATTTCTGAAGTATATGTATAAAATGACCGACTTACCCAATCATTAGCATAGATCTCCTTAAGACGTTATTTGAAAATTTAAACTTGAAAAATTTAGATAAAAAAATAAAGATTTCTATAAATTACACTTGGATATGTTACATCTTCTTACATTTTTCGGGTTGAAATCAAAGAAAATACCAGGGCTAGTGACAAAAGAATTTTCATTTTTAAATGTCGTTTCTGACGTTTAGTTATCTATAATGTGTGTCATAAAGCTAAATTGTTCTTGAATCAATCATGATACATATAACGCAATATTATAGTCACGTTAAATCGATTTTTGTCAAGAATTGAATCCAGAACTTCATTATTCTTGACAACTCTAAGAAATAAATCATACTTTTACTCTCTCATTTGTCATATCAACATCTTAGATAATAATTCCTTCATGACGTTGGAAAATTTCTGATTAATATTAATTTTTTCGTGATGTTTCAAAATAGGCTGCTTCGTGATTTATGACTTAGAGTATGCATTACATTTCTTAAAATAGATCACGTTTTGCCAATTATAACCATGCATGAAAACGCTATAAATCACTTATCATGCATAGTTATAACAAGAATGATTATATATTTATGATTACATCTAGCGTTCTATGAGCTGCCTATTTCTAATTAGTATTTACATAGCTGATAGAGATTAAGAATTTAATTTAAAACGACATAGAGTTTCTTTATTGAAAAGCTATTGCGAAATACATTTGAAAATAAATGTACTGAAAGTATATGGTCATAGTTATTATTTAGATTTTAACTGATTTTTGAATCTATAAACTGCACATCTGGACAAACAAAATCTATTGATTTATTGGAAAATAAGGTAAGTTTCATGGTATATAAGCATAGAGAATTTATCAAAACTTCACTATTTTACGGAACGACGTAAAAATGGATTCCTCCTACTTCCAAACATATATACTTGTCATTGGCATCATATGCAGTAAGTTTTACTTTATGTTACCACATTTTTGAACGGATTTAAGATATTTTAGCTTAGCTGACTTCAAATATGTAAATGGTTTCTCTATACAAACTACAGTTTTTATGCAATTTAATAATATATCCTTAATCAGGAATTTTTAAAATTCACTCGAGTGAATACTAAATATCCCCATTTCTTTGCTACGTAGGGAGTGGTAGGAAGAAGATGAGATCTTTGCTTGAGATCTTCGTCAATGGCAGATACCGTGGTTACGTCTATATATGCAAGGAATATTAAAGCAAAAATATATCGCAAATACCCTGCTTTTATAACAATAATGATCAAAACCGTTATTGCAGGTATCACGTCATCAAGAGCGGTATGTCCATCTGATAGAAGCAAACCTTGGTGCTATGATGATTCTCTACCTAATGGTAAGAATAAACATTCATTTTGAAATGCAAAATTTTTTTTCAGCAAAAATTAAGCTAATTGATCAATACATATATAAGTACTATAAATGCAAACAAACTTTAAAAACGCATTGAAAATTAAAAAATATCGATTCTCAAGTACTACACTGTATGAAATTCTGGATCAAATTACGGTAAAAAGTACTAGCACCTTAAGTGCCGATACTTTTTACCGTAGCTTCAATTTTTTCGTAGAATTAATGGAACAAGAGATCTGATAGTGTACAGTAAGTTTTACAGCAATAGTCACTGTAAAATCACTGAATCATTGTAATTAAATATGTACTAGAAGGCTTTGCCCCCTACTCGCTGGCGCTCGCCAATCCCCGGAACTGCTTTCTCAGTTCATTTCGGATTGCTTCGCAATCCAATGCTCGCTTTGCTCGCTCATTGGAAACGTTCCTAACGTCTAGCTTTTGTATACTTTTTGAATACTGATGTTCCGAAAACTTCTCACTGTAGAAAATTCTAAACCTGTACATTTCAATATTAATTTAAAATTGCAAACAGTTCACATATTTTGCTTAATCACACTATTTTAAACTTCAGTTGTTGAGAAAAGTAACTGTTGTAAGTTTTGTTTTAAAGTCTTTCCCACCAGAGGGCTAAAGCCATGTGTTGTAAAACAATATGAAATAGTAGTCTGCCACTGAACGCCGGATGTAAAGCATCGGCTTTGATGAAGATAATTTTGTATTTTTAATTCTCTGAAGGGCGCCACCTTAATAATATGGAATTTGTAAAATAAATGTATATATTTTTGATTGTTGATGAAGCCCATCATTTTGTGTTTTCATCAGTGTTCAGAAGCAGAACAACTATAAGTTTTTTATTTTATCACAAAAATATAAAATGTATAAAAAACAAAGAAAAGAGTAAGAAAATGAGTATAGTCATAGAAAAAGTTAAAATTATAATATAGTATTTGTCAGTTAAAATAAAACTTTTTGTTTAAGTCATTGCTAACAATTCAAATTTCTCCGAGGCAATTCTAAAGTATAAATTAAGGTAGTATTGTTAAGTTGAAACACAATATTTTTAGTTTTGATGTCAACAATACAATTCAATTTTTCACAAAAACGATTGTTTCCATTGTTAAGTTCAATGTCAACAATTCAAATTTTTCTGAGGCAACTCTTAACCTCTAAATATTATTTTTTTTATGTACACATTTCTAAATGTCAGTATTCAACCACAAAACAACTTAAAGTCCTCAAATTTAGCATGAAGTTGTAAAATGTAATGAAAGAGGGTCATAGCAATAATGAAAGTAGAAGTAAAGTTAGTACTGTAAAATTAAAACAATATTTTTAATCAATGAGCCAAGTTCTTCAAGAAGCAGTTGTAGAAGTAGGTTGTTTATTTAAAACTTTTTATAGAATTTCTTTAAGAACACAATTGTTAATTTGGGCATTTGGCGATACAACACTTTTAGAATTGAAGGATTTGTTACGTCAAGCGCTCAGGTATCATAATTTTGATCTAGTTGCGCTTCTATGTCATTTTGATTTATGTTGCTAAGTTAACTTTCAAAAAATTCTATGGCTGGCAACAGCATTTTTATTTTTTAAGTTGTTTATTTTTATTTCTTTTAGAATTCGTAATTTTTTTAGTGAAATGTTTTTTAACCTAACAGAATTCTTTGCCGACTGTTATAAATGCTTTATAAATGCGACTTTGCCGATAAATGAAGAAAATAAAGTAAATATTTAAGTGTTGTGAAAAGAATCTTATTTAGTTGTACAGAGTACTTCTTTAAAAAGGAAAACTGTCACCACCAGCGGAAAAGAAATACAGCCAAAATTTGGGAGCCACGTAAGAGAATTATATATAATAGATTAATTAATTGTAATTTTCTCAGTAATATTTACTGCTAAATCACTAAATCATCGTAATTAGACAAATAATATTGTAAATTTACGGTATAAAAGGGCAAAATAGATTTTGCAGAAGTACATTACTCATTACCGTACCATTGTACGGAATTTTTACAATATAGTCGGGAATATGTTAGCATTGTTTTCTTTAACACGTTCGCTCCGGGAAAAGTGAAAATACTGGTACGGGAAAAGAGAAAATACTGGTAGAAGAACTACTTCAATATTCGGGAGGAGTTAATCTATTCTCAACAATATTTATCACGGACCTTGAACTTGAACTGAGTTTGTCTTCAGTGCACCTGTCCGCGAAGCGGACACTACACACTTTCATCGGTGGTTGTGCCCGTGGGCACCTGGAATATTGACGTTGTACGTGGATCATAGGCAGTGAAATGCAGAGGCGGTGGTCAAATTAAAATCTACTTTTTAATTTTACGCTTAGATTTGAGATTTAAGAAATGTTTTAGTAAGTAATCTGAAGTTGGAAATGTTTATGCTTAAAATGAGTCTCTGTTAGAACAGTGACCCGGTCGTCCTGGTTTAAACCACTCGTACCGGGTTGCTGACTGTACTGATTTACAGGAAGCTACGGTAGAAATTTATCACGGCGCAGAAGCAATTCAATATAAATATTGAATCCGTTAAAAACAATTGGTAGTTATGGATTTTTATTATTCCCGGAAAAAAACTAAAAAATGAAATTTATTGTTACCAGTTTTTACTCCGGTGCGCTGCCAAGATGAGACAATCTAGCGTGACCCACCGGTGGGTCACCCCGGCGTGAACGTGTTAAGGGACAGAGTATTGTAACTAAAGTGTAATAAAGTGTACTAGACTTTATTGTTTCCCAAAATTTTAGAATTGTTACGTTCGTAAGAGAATATTACGTCATGTTACATCTTTACGTTAAAGAGATAATAAACAGTTACACAAATATGCGTATTTGCTCGAAAACACATTAATTCGTTTGAAAAATATTCATTTCTACTTGTTAATATTTGCATTTACTTGAAAATGACTGCTTTTGTTCCTTTCTTTAGGTCCATCAAATTGGTACCGCACGTTTCCCAATTGCAGTGGACAAAGGCAATCACCCATCAATATCATAACGACACAAGTGTTGTCAGACCCAAGGAACCTTGTAGTCGCAAATTATGACCAACCTATTAGTCGACTCAGGATTGAAAATAATGGCTACAGGAGTGAGTTTTAAAGCTTTTTAATTAATCTATTCTATGTAAATATATATTTTATTACGAGTTCTTCCTGCTCTCGTGCCACAGGTCCTTGGTTCGATCCTCGGGCCGGCGGCCGAGGTTGACTCAGCCTTTCTTCCATTTAGTGGGTCGATAAAATGAGCATCAAGCTTGGGGACGAAACACTGGGGTTCGACGTTCGGCTGACCACCCAACTGAAACAACTGCCCTTGCTCCCCAGAGCCCAAGTTCGAGAAAACTGAGATGGGCACAGTAGGCCTTGACACTGAGTTTAGTTGTTTTTTTAAAAATATATTTTATTATATTATCTGTGCAGATATGAAATACCGTGTGTTGTTATTGAAGTTAATTATACGATTCATTATATTTATTATCATTCATAATATATTCATTACATTTAGAAACTGAAATGGTGACCATTTCAGTTGTTCAAAGGACTTTGACATTTAATGGATCAATGTACACGTTGAACTCTGTTCATGTCCATGTAGGTAGAAGTTCAAATTTAGGTTTAGAACCCGCAATCAATTTTCAAAAAAGTACTCTATCGACATACTTCAAGATTTATTTTCCTTTAACGACAAATTACTCTGCAACTAAAACATTAAAAAAAGCTCTCCAGTATATCCCTGGTAAAACTGAAATGGTGACCAACACTTCAGATAGCATTTTGTACTCACACAGATGGCATTCTCATAGCATGCGCAGCACAGCAGATTGCATTTACTAATTTTATTTGATGATAAATAATTTTATTTTAAATATAGTTTAATTTTATTTGTAACGATTGTATTTAGGGAATGCAAAATTCCTCCACTGAGTTACGCAGTAATAACATTGGTTCAAAATGCAAAGTACACTACTGCTGTTTCTTCTCTCTAGTGTTCTTGCATTCTCTAAATTTACTTGATACATGCATCAAATGTATTTAGTGAAGGCAACCGAGTAACGCAAATGATAATATTGGTTCAAAACACAAAGCTTATTACTACTATTTCTCCTCCATATAAATTTGTATTCACTAAATTTATTTGATACATGTATCAAATGTATTTAGTGAATGCGAAATTCTCAAGCTGAACAAAGGAAATAATAACATTGGTCCAAAATTCTAAACTAACTACTGTCATTTCTCCGTTTGTTCTTGTTATTTAATTCATGCTATCGAGATTCTATATTTAAAGAATTTTTTTGTGTGCAATTTCAGTATCTTTGTATCCCATGGACGGTGTTCAAAGGACTTTGACATTTAACGGATCAATATACACGTTGAAGTCAGTTCATTTCCACGTTGGGAGTAGTTCAAATCCTGGTTCAGAACACGCAGTTAATGAACGAAAATACACTATCGAAGTGAGTGTCCTTTAATTTCTACTTTATCTAAAAATGCGGAATTATATAAGCAACTGTAACAATTGGACAAGCCTCCATACGGTTTTTTGTAGGTAGTCCGATCAGACCAATATGAAGGTAAAAAAATTAGTGAAAGAACCATTTAATATGAAATCTATTAAAAATGAGAAAGTGGTAGCAAATATATGTCTAAAATTTTTTTTAATTTATGAATATAATGGGATTGTTTTATTTACTTGTCAACCAGTACAGATTCAATTCTCAAATATATATATATGATAAATTTCTCTCAAGTACTTTTAAATTTTCAAACTCTTCTACAATGTAAAAGTAAAACAGCTCAATCAAATTGCAAACTGTATCCGATAGATGGCGACACCAATGTTAAACAAAACTTCTGTAAATTTATCATTTTAACATGCTATATTTGTTTTAAACATTAAACTCTAACTTATTAATGCTAAATTGCCAAATGTATCTGTATTTATATCGATTTTATTCATAACTATATCACAACTTATGACTGCATCAAATTTAAATTCCATTTAACGTTAAAATATCAGTTGCACTTGTTCATATTTTAAATTTTTCATTCATATTTAAAATTCACAACGTATGATTGCATTAAACTTAATCCCATACAATGATTCAACACCAACTGTGCTTTATTATATTCATGAATAATTTTTTGATTATTTCATAAATCATGATTCATATTAAGTAACAATTCATGTTTAATTTTTCAGGCAAATATGTTTGATCTTTTATTTTATTTTGCTACTTTAATGCTGCATAAATCAAAATGTTTGTAATTCAACCTGTAAATTATTTCATGATGTATGGGTTAGGGGCCGCTACGCGGCCTAGGCACCCAGTTTTTTGTTAAATAAAGCGTAAAGCGTAAGTACTTTTAAATTAGAATTAGGGTTCATGCGCACAAGTGGTTCGCTTTTTCAATAATCTGCGCTGACTACTTATAAGAAACCATGTGGAGGCTTTCTGATGTAGGAGGTAATGAACAAACCCGTAATTATTAAGTACCCGTAAGAATTAAGTTATTCTCATTAAATATCTGTGAACTGAATTATTATTAAAGGGTAATGAACCTCCATTTCTAAGTTTTTGCTTAACTTGAAATTATAAAATGATAGTGACAAAATGTTAAGAAAAAAAATATTTTTTTCCTCAATAGTTTCATTTTGCATTTTACGATTTTATTTAGTCTTTATTACTAAATAAAAAAAAATCACCGCATTTTTATAAATTTTTTGCGTGGCACTTTCATTTTTTTAAAATAAAATAAAGAGCAAAGATGTACAGGTTTAAAATTCTCAAGGAAAAAAAAAAGAATATATTTTGTTGTACACTTTTATCTTTACTTCCAAATAGGATAGTTATTACTGTTTTTTGGTTAACAATAGACATGAACCACATGTTTCTTATCAAGCTAAATACTGTCGTGCAATTGAAAAGCGCAAGCGACAAAACGTAATGTAAACGTAAGTGATAAAAAATTCAAAATTGAGATTTTTGAAGTTATACTTCTTATGCGACTTCCAACAAGGTTGCGTTAAACGTTTAACGCTGCATTTTTATTGGCCGGGAAATCACGTGGTAGGATCCAGTTTTCCCTCATTCATTTCCATATTGTTTTGGTTCTCACTAGCATAAAAATAATAAAAGTATTGTTTTTCTATAAATATTTTTTTAGTTTGATTTGATACACATATATTTAATAGGATAGTATTTTTTATTTTCAAATTTAGTGGATAACAATTGTAAAAAATGAATGAAAACAATCCCAAAGACTATGCGACGGAATTAAGGTTATGTCATGGTACGTCTCTTGTGAATATCAATTGATTGTTAGGTTTTCTCTTTTGAAATTACATTATGACGCATCCACATACATTATTAATACAAATACATTTTCCATGGCGAGACGATGAGGCAACCACAAGCACTTCCACTGGTTCAAGAGGTCCACGAGGGAAAAATGCACAATATTACCGTTATTACAGAGCACGGAAGCGAGCGGAGCAGGAAAAAGAGTCGCTGAATAGAACTAGTGATCCTTCTACGACTGCTGATTCTTCTACAATTAACGTCGCAGGTTACGAAGTTTAACTTCTTCCGCTCGGAGGGACTCCACGTACTATTTTTTTTATATATTTGGCATCTATGCATAGTTGAAAACTGTTTATTAAAGTGCCAAGAGCCAAACAGCAAAGTAGTAACCTTAAATCAAAATTTTAAAATATGAATTTTTTGAAAGAAAAAAAAAGAACTGAAATGAAACGAATAGAGCAATATTTATCGTAAACATATGAATTGCGGAAACATTTTTTGCATTTATAAAATATGTAATAGTATTAATAAAATAAATACTGTTAATAAAGATATTAAGCGTTAGCTAGCAAAATTAAATAACACATAAAATAATAAAGGAGATAAAAGTGATTAAAATAAACTAGTTAATTTGAGGGGTAATATATTTTTTTTGCTTTTTTAACGTAGAAAAATTGGTTACAGTGTCTCAACACAACTGGTGGAAATCAAAAGGTTTTTTAGTTTGATACTGGTCTTATACTATGCTACCAGCTTGAATGCGTAGCAAGGTGCACCTTAAATGCTTCGCTTTCAGCAAAATATTTCATAGAGTGGTTGACATTTAAAAACCAAAGCTTTCAGAACTTATGGTAATTTTCCATTATTTTTAAATCCTCACCGCGAGAATGCTGGAACAAAGTACCATTGCACATGAACTTTAAAATTATTTATAGGTAGTGACATGGAAAATAAGTTTAAATGAATAAAAAATAATGCATTGAAAGCATGAACCAGTATAATAAATATTTACAAGAAAACGGAGAAAGATGGCTGCCCTGTAAATGTACCGTTGGTGAAAGTCGTCTTGTTGATTGTGGTGAAGAGAGGGATAGGATTTCAAACGCAGCCCACGTCATCTGAGCAGGGTTAAAATGACGTGGCACTCCTATCGTGGCAATTAAAAGCTAGAGCCCTGAAATCGAGTCTTGATGAAACATAAAACACAATTGACATTAGAAACGGATTTTTTAATTTTACGGGTAGAGTTAAGGATTTTTCTTGATTGACCGTTTTTAAGTGAAATTAAGTTAATCTTTTTCCCAAACATTTGGGTAGATGGAATTTATTTTTATATTTTCGACGTCACTGCCCTATTTTATTTTAATTGAAATATAATGATTGCAATTTGAATGATGAAAATTTTTTTTGCAATTTTTAACAGTAATTATCATAGCCTAATTGTAATAGTATATATAGCCTAAATTAGCAGTAAAATGTGGTTGTATTTCTCAATGTTTCATTTAAAATGCTTTAAAAATTAAAAAATTAATTAATTTTTTTCAGTGTCATTTGGAGCATTGTACTCAAGATGGGCGCTTACTTACTTTGGCATCTTTTATACAGGTATACATGTCGTTATTTAAAATATTACTATTTATATTAAATAAACAGTCCGAAATTAAAGGAGGCATTCTCAAACATAGCTAGTAAAATAGTTATTTAATACTAGTGGGCTGCGCCCCCTGCTTGCTAACGCTCGCCAACCCCGAAAATTGCTACGCTGTCTTATATGGTTTGCTTCGCAAACCAAGGTCGCTTCGCTCTCTACTAATTTAGGTACATTGCAAGTGCACAAAATTCTACGAACTCAAAACAATCATTCAAATCCATATAACAACTTTTTTTTTAAAAAAAATTACATCTTTTTAGTAAATACTAAGTCATTAAAATAAATTTGAATTCTAATAAGTGACATGCAATTCGTTAAACCTATTAGAAATGTGCCATAGTATAAAATCTTAAGATAAAATTTCTAAAACTGATATCTCTTTAAAAAGGTTAAAATTTTGGCTATAATTAAGTCTATTAAAAATTGAAATAAGTGAATTGCAATGGAAAAACCTGCATAAACAAA